GAAGATCTTCTCGACTCATCTTTGCTCAGGACCCCAAACCTGGTGACCCCTGGTGTCACCTTTGGGTCCCTACTCGGGAGCTCCGAGTCCTCAAGGGGGAGGCAGGGCTCTGGTCCTTGTTGGAGGTTTTCCTGAAGCGTCCTGGGCCCAACTCCCATGAGGAGGAGCAGTCTCTTCTAGAAAGTGGAAAGTCAAGGGAGTGAGCGGGAGTGGGACGGAAGGAATATTTGGGGCCTGTCGGGACCAAGAGACCAAGCAGGAAAAAGGGCCCAAATGCTGCGAAGGAATCTGAGAGGTGCGAGATGGGAGGGCCTGGCTTTATGTGAAAAGTGTCGCTGGCCACTTGCTGGAAAGCAAAGCCTCATCTCATTGCACATTTACCTACAGAATTCACCCAGCATCCAGCCAGAGTGTGTTGGTTCTTACTATGTGCCAGGCATTTCCCAAGCACTAGTTTGTTCAATTTTTACAACAAACCTGCGAGGATATCACAGGCAGATGAGGAACTGAAAGGCAGAAAGGTTAAGAAATGCATCCAAGGTCACAAAGTTGGAGGCAGAGCAGGGATCTCCAGCCTTGGTTTTCTAGCTCCTGATCACAGCACCTGTCAGGGCTCCGCAAGGTGTTCTCTTGCATTTTGGGCCTCAAGGGAGCAATGTAGGGAGCGTTGCAGGGGCATTTGCCCCCCCCCAACTCCCCCACACACACCCCTAGTTGTTGTTGTTGTTCTTATTATTTGTCAGTCCAGCCTTACTAAAGGGCATGTGGAGGAGGCCAGAGGGGCAGGCAATGCCACTGATGGACCCTGCCCCTGGGCAGAAACTCCCAGACTTTCTGTGATTCTCCTGAAATAATAAGTAGCATTTATTGAACACCTTCTGTGTGACAAGTACTGCTTTTAGGCGCTTTCACTTATTTCATTAATCCTCAAAACAACCCTGAAAAGTAGGTATTCTTATTTTACGTCTGAAGCAGCTGAGACTGAGAGAAGGCAAGTAACTTTGCCCAAGATCACGCAGCAATTTTTGTCAGAGCTGGGAATTCCAGTGCAGGACTGGCTGACTTCAATGCTTCTTGCACATTTTTAAGTCCCATGAACACATGCTGGTTGCTTCCAGGAAAGGAAGAGAAAGACAAATATGAAGAGTGGTTAGGGTTAATTCTAACCCCTTGTCCACTTCCCTCCAAGGCATCATTGCCACAGCTTCCCTGCCAATTGTCCTTAAAAGAAATTGTTTTGGCTGTTCAGGTTCCTCCATAAATTGGAGCAGCATCTGGTCTTTGCAGAGAGCCAGGCATTCCAGGAGCTCATAACCCAGGGTCCGGATGATTCCTGGTTTGACGGCCAGCTGGCACCAACTCCCCTGGGAGTGTGTAGGCAAAGTCTGATCTGCAGAGCAGTTATTCATTTCCCCAAATTAGGAGACCCAGGAAGATGATTCTTTTTAGAGGCCCCAGATATGATCTGAATCCCAAGTTTGCACCCCCTTCTTTTTTTTTAATCCTCACCTGAAAATATTTTTCCATCGATTTTTAGAGAGAGTGGAAGAGAGAGGGAAAGACAGAGAGAAATAACGATGTGAGAGAAACACATCGATTAGTTGCCTCCTGCACGCGCCCCGACCAGGGCCCTGCCTGGGGAGGAGCCTGCAACCGAGGTACGTGCCCTTGACCCAAATCAAACCCAGGACCCTTTGGTCCGCAGGCTCACACTTTCTCCACTGAACCAAACTGGCTAGGGCTGCACCGCCTGCTTTAGTAATGATGCTGTGTTCACTTGAAAGCCAGCCACCATCTCCAGCACTGATGCTCATGGGATCCCGAGGAAGCCAAGGCAATGCGCCTTCCCAGGCACCCACACTTAGGGAGGGAATCTGCCTTTCTATACCCCACAGGCCTTTCTCCAGAATCTGTAAATCCAAACTGTGCTGGAAATGAACAGTTCTGTCGTAAAGTTGGAATCGAAACTCATTAGTGACAAACACCAGACTGGACCTTCTATTTCTCTCTCTTAGTGTGAATATAAGGCTTTAGTGCAGAAATCAGAGTTGATGAGTCTGACTATGGTGGTGCTGCTGCTGCTGCAGGGTGTTATGTAACATGTGGTCTATGCATCACCCATTATTTTTAAAATCCAAAACGTTCTGGAGTCTGGCCCCACACGCTCCAGTTAAGGGGTGTGGCCTTGTTGTATAATGCAGGAAGGTCATCTCCTGATCAGGAAGCAGGTGGTTTACTTAGATTCATAAAGAGAGCCCTCCCAAGCCTCCAAGTGGTCAGACGAGGCGCCTGACTTCCATCACCCGGGGGCTCATTCTCTGCTATCTTCTCTGAGAGGTGGATGGAACCAGAAGTAGCTTATCCCTGTATGTGGATTTTTCCTCTGTGGGAGAAGGCAGCTTGAGACAAGTGGGTACTTGGAGAGGGTGACCAAGTGTAATGGGAGGAAGATGGCACAGGACAGGGGTCTCGGGCAAATCGCAGGCCCTAGGTAGGGCCTACAGTGGGCAGAGCCTGCAGGTGGTGCTGGGGGAGGTGTAAACAGCATAGAGCTAAGCCAGGACCCTGGCCAGTCAGCCCCACTCATTGCTCACCGCTGTCTGAGCTTTAGTGCACAGAGCACAGCCATCGAGTGGCCTTCAAATGACAGAAACCCTGTCCTTGGCAGGTGTCGCTCAGGGCTGTCTGGGTCAGGACCAGGGGGAGGCCCTGCACGTTGGTTCCCAGCCCCCCAGGAGGGCCCCGGCAGATGGGCAGGTGCCAAAGCCGATGGTATCAACGGTGCGACCCACCCTGAGTGGGACCAGCGATTGTTTTCTAACAGAGCTGGCCAGTGTCGAGGTGGAGTGGCAGCGGACGTCGAGGCCGCGTCTTTTCCATTTTCAGAGATTCCAGTTATTTACAAATGAAGAAACACACATTCGGGTCAACTTAAAGTTGTGCGTGAACGGTGCGGTCTTTCTGCAATCCTTCACAGCGTGTCTGGGACCGCAGGCTGTTTGGGGGAAGCGGGGATGCGAGGCGAGGCGTCTGGGGCGCCCCCTACCGGCCACGGCCGGCCACGCT